TTGTTCTATATTCGGCCCATTTCAGCCCATGGGTGATCCTTTGAAATTTCGGCCCATGGGTGCCCATTAAAATTTCGGCCCATGGGTCGAATGGGCCGGGCCGGGCCGGGCCAAGCCCGGCCCATTGAGACCTCTGATATATAGGCAAACATAACCTGTAGAATGTTCTATACGATAGACTATCCTACAGTATAATCAGGTGACTTCAGTTTCATACCACACAACTTACGAAAAAGATTAGTGACCTCATTATTATCTCTTTCAGCTTGCAAAATTCGAGTGAATTTGATGCAACGAAGTCATTTCGCCCGCACAAGTATATATAAAATCTATTCAAATTCCTCAACTTTTACTTTTTACTCATGGATAATATCATAATTAATACTCCAAAGAAAAGCGATTGTTCTTGTGATGTGAATCTTTCATGTGATACTGGAATAGATGAAATGATTACTTCTGCAACGAGTCGCCATTTGATAGAATTGAATATGTATCTATTGAATGCTCTATTAGTTTTCGTGTTTTGAGAATGTGGATATCTGGTACAACGAAATAATAAGATTATTCAAAAACTCTATACTAAGATAGAATTTATGCAACAAATAGTAAATGAATGAATGTGGAATTAAACAACGAAGTTCTGTTACACATACGAATCAAAATTAAATGATAAATATTTCAACTTCTTTATCCACGAAACTATCGATTTGCCAAAAATTTTCAATATCTGAGCTCCGGTTTTAATGTCAAATATTCTAAATCAGACTAAAACATGTATCCATTTTCGATATAAGAATTATCATCGAGTGGATTAAGGAGAGAAAAGAAAAGTGTTGATATAATCTGCAAAACTTGTTGTTTAACTATCGAGAACAAAATCATCCGTCTCATACCTCTTATATATTGTGCTTTTTCTAAGTAAATTTCACTGAGACCTGTATAACATTGTTGTATAGTTGATGGTTCATTTTTTTCTGGATTTTCTTCAAATAATTCAATTGTTTTTTGATACAGCAATTTAATGTTGTATGAAGATGATTGATTTTAAATATGGCAGTATTTAACCACTGATATAATTGTTTCAATTGTTGATCTTCATCTGAAGTTTGACTCAATCGAATATTTCGAATATTGTCTGAGGCACGATTTAAAGATAGAATTCGAAAAACACTACCCATTGATAAGAGAATTTCTTCTTCTCAATCAAATTGACTTTGTTCAGATATCTGAGCAAATGGAGTTGATGTTTGAATTGTGTAATCTAGCTCAATTTCAAAAAAAATCACTTGTATATCATTGAGTCCATGTTGAACATAAATTTCTGCTAGTTCTTGTTTTTCACTTGTCGATAAAAATTCACTGAATGATATCAAATGACCTTTTTGTAATTTTTCGAATTCATCATTTGGTAATCCAAGTCCTCGATAAACAATTAGCTTTTTTTCTGATGAATTTGAATGTTGTTTTGTACGATACTTTTTGAGTTCTAAAAGAAGATCTTTAATAAAATACTGCAAATGATAAAGAGTAATAATGTTCTGTGTTCGTAGAGCTTTATTAATTGTACGATAAAGAAAATCATCAATAGTGTACCAATAGATAGCACGTTATGATATATATTCACGTTCAAATTTATCTATTTTTTCTAATTCAGCTTTGTTTGTATTGTATTGTTCTCGAAAAAATTCAATCATGTCAGTTTTTTCATTGTTTGTATATGTTTCATCAATAAAAATATTACGTATAATTTGAGAATACATAAATGTTGCTTCTTGTAGGTTGCTTTTGTTCGTTTAATCAACGGTACTAAATGATCCTAAAGTATGTTCTGGAAAATTATTTATTGTTAGCAGATTTTGTACAAGAAGTTTCTTATCATATTCTATTTGTCCCATTAATTCATTGATTCTTCCGAACTGACCTTGAACTTTTCGAAAATTGACAGTATCTTCACTTGCTTCTCGACATATATTGACATTGAATATACAAATAGAATAGATCTGTTGCAAACGATATACAAATGATGTCAATGAAACATACTCAGCAGAGATAATTAAGAATATTTTTTCATTTTTAATATTTGTAATATAATCCACACAAGAATCTACTTCATTGAAACGTTTTATGTAATTCATTAGACGTCGAAATTCTTCAAGATAACCACATAATTGGTTTAATGGTGAATCAAGACAGACAAGAATAAATTGTTCTAAATTATTTTGCATCTTGTGTAAATACTAATAAATGAAATCGCGCGAAACAGTAGAAAAAAAAAGTGTGGTAATGTGCTACTGGCGTATTACAATTTTCTGCAAAGAAAAAGTCAACATCATCAACACGTGGCAGAAAAAGAGAAGCAAATCTATACTTTTATTTTTCTCGTTTCAAACATTAAGGTAAGTTGGAAATCGGAGTTGTTCGGTAATAAAATCGTCCCTCTCTCCAGATCGTTCTTTTATTTTGTTTTTGTACTTATTGCATTGGACATGAAGGGATGAATACACGTGTTTATTGAGATGGATTTTGTGCTAAAAGCTTGGCTAGTGGTAGATGTAAGGAGTAGAATATGTATATGATGAAGAGAAGAACACCTACACCACCGTATTTTTTTTAAAGAAAGCAACTAATATATACATGAAAATGACTAGAAAGAAAATAACTGCAAAAAGTAAAATTACAAATTGATTAATGCAAATGGTACGACACATTTCTTTTCTTTTCTTTACAAATATGAGGTTCGCAATCAATCTAATTGTTCCAAAGACGCTACAATAAAATTATGTGTCGAGGGTGGGCGTGGGTGGGTGTGGGTGTCGGTGGGTGTGGGTGTGGGTGTGGGGTGTGGGTGTGGTGTCGGTGTGTGTGGGTGTGGGTGTGGGGTGTGGGTGATGGGAGCAATAATACTTTGAGATCTACACCGACATCGACACCCACACCCACACCCACACCCACACCCACCCACACCCACACCCCACACCCCACCCACACCCATATTTGTCTAATTGAAATTCATGAAAATGTATTAAACTATTAAAAAAACCTGATCATAAATTAAATAGTAATAACATTGATTCAAATGTTACTTTTAATTAAGTTCGAATATGTAATTTGTTCAAAATATTGGTTAAACAAATGTTTGATTATTTTATAAAATATTCTTTATTCAAAAAATTAATCTAATAGAAAATCATCATTGAATCTTTCAATATTCACAAATAGAATAAATAAAAATAATTGAAGAAGTACTAATTTTAATTTATATAAACATGTCGTAGCAAAACAGATTGATTTTATCGATTTGTTAATGCATCATAATTAGATTCATGGAGAAATAAAAGTCATTATCAATTAGAACAACACGAAATAATAAAGTATCAGAAATAGTTTTTATTTTGTAGTGCTTTCTTTCTAAATTGTATCTTTTGTTTTAGAGTCTCATGAGAGATGTTCAAACAGAAAAAAAGCACGTTAATGAAGAATATAAGACATCTTGAGGGTAGCCTTCGTGCTTCAATTCATCTCATATGTTCGAAATAATTAGGATTGAAAATTACACTCCTACTATGACGTCGTGCATAGCGTCGAGATACGATTAGTTTGAGAGTATTGTTCGTTTATTTCCAGGACATCTAAACTTAAGTGAATTGTTTACATATGTTGTCGATTTTTCAATAAAGTTTAACAATTAAAAAAAATAAGAAAACAATCGAAACTGAAATTTTATTAGCTTCATAAATTCGAAGTTATCAGTAAGAGGAAAAGCAGAAGTCGACACAATCATGTATCGAGTAGCGAACGATCAAAGTCTTTCTTTTTTCGAATCAGTTCAGTTATATGAAGAAAGACAATTAACTTTGGGTGATCCGGAAGTAGTTCTTTGGACAAGATTTTTATACCTTTTTCCATATTGTCTAATGAGTCCTCAAATTTTCCCAAAATCCATAAAGTCATACCCATTGATGTGTATAAAACTGCTCTTGACCATTCATCTTGAACTACTGAATTGTGCAGAGTGAGTGCTTGATTATAGGGCTCCACTGATTTCTCATATTCTTTTTGAGCAGTATATGTGTCACCAATATTCTTATACGTTTTAGCAATGAAGGAAACATTAGTCGATGAAGAGTTTCTGGCCATGTTGAGTGTATTTTTAAAGTATGATAATGCTTGTTCATAGTTTTTCAGCTTTAGATAGGTGATGGCAATCGACTCATTCAATTCAATTAAACAAGGATGTTGATCAGATAGAGTTCTTGTTTGAATTTTGAGTGCCTTATGAAAATGAATCAGCGCTTCATCATATTTCGATAGTTTAAAATAAGTACCGCCGATACTTTTGTGTCTATATCCATGATCAATATGAGAAGCAGGTAGTATCTCATTTTCTATTTGTTTTGCCAATAGAAAACAGTTTAATGCTTTTGAATAGTCACCTTTTTCAACGTGGACAGCGCCCATATTTTTGGTGTCCTTCAACAGATATCTTTAATCCAATATGTGATGATTTTGATATCTACTCTGATGAATTTTTGTTACTCGTTCGAAATAGATTAATGCTTCATCTAGCATATGTTGTTGACAATAGACTGTACCAATATTCGAACATACCGTAGCAATCTCTTCGTGATTTTCTGGTAAATATTTTTCGTCAATATCAAGTGCTTTGCGATAAAATTCTAATGCTTTTGTATAATCTTCCTGTTCTTTGTACGTCCATCCAATATCGTTATAAATGATAGATAAATGAAGTGGATTATTACTTTCTAACGATGAATTTTTTAATAATAATTGATAGAAATATATCGCTTTATCGTATTTTCCTATAACTCTCATTAATGCTGCCAAATAAAATAGACCATTCTTGTCAACAATGTCTTTTTCTAGACATTTTCCCAATGTAATCAATTCTTCATCTTCAGTATCTGTCAACATTAACTTTACTCTATAACAATCTTCTTTGTTTTCTATTTTAACAATGGACTTGATTCGAAATATACTACCCATGGAAAATAAAACTTCTTTTTCGATCGGAAAATGACTTAGATTTTCAATACAGGTAAAAGGAGTATTGTATTTCACGACATCCTCACTTCCTTCGATTTCGAATAAAACCCCCACCGTATCTTGGCTCGTTTGAACGTAAATCTCCGCTAAGGCTTTATCCATCGTTGTTGATAGAAAATTACTGAATGATAAAAATCCATTCTGTTGTAATTGAAGAAATTCATTTCTTCTCATCCCTTGACCACGATAAAGAATATTCGTATTTGGTGTATTCAACATTGATATACATAACGTAACCAATTGTACATGTAAATCTTTAATGAAGAAGCGAAATTTATAGAGTAGATCAATATCCTGAGATCTTAACGCTTGATTTAACATTTTGTACACAAATGAGTTTCCAGTATACCACCAAATAGCTTGAGTGGGTTCATAGTTTGCTTCAAATTTATCGATCAACCGAAGTTCAGAAATATTTGTGACATAGTATTGGCGACAAAATTCGATCATTTCCTTTTTAGCAATATCAAAATCGTCTAATTGAAACAAAGCATTTCTCAAAATTTGTAAATATATGAATGATACTGGTAGTTTATTATTGTCGTATTGACCAGAATTGGATGGGATCACTTGTATTGAAATAGAATTCCTCGATAACTGTATAATATCTCGCTTTAATTGATAACAAATCGAATGAATATGATTGTAAACACCACGTATTTTCAAGTAATGTTTTGACCATTGTTCATGTATATGCGTATTGCAACAAAATACATAAATTGATTCAATATGTTGTAGTTCATGAATCAGTGGAACGATATCAATACCAATTGATCCAGATATAATAAAAAATACTTTTTCATCATTTATATCTGTTATATAATCGATACATTGATCGAGATCATAAAATGTGAATACACCATCAACAATATGACGAAGATCATTTACTGATGATTGCGTTGCATTATCGGTTTGGTTAATTGTAGCATCCAGCCATATAACGATACAATTTTCTAGATTAATTTCTCGATTTGATGTCGAGTTTATCATAAGAAACAAAAAATCTTCGTCTCAACAAATGAAAGAGAAAATGTTTCTGATTAATTATAAATAGATCATGTACGAGAACGAAAAGAGGTATAGTATTTCTTTTTTCTTAGCATGAAGAAAAGATTACCATATTAATCACATATAGAAAAAAACGAGTTTATTTAGAGATTAAGCTATGCAAATTCTATCTATCTCAGTTTTTGTTCATGACATTTTGTTTTTCATATTATTAATATCAATGAATTGTTAGCGTCAGTAGATGGTGCTTACTGACGCTAAACGTTTATCTTATGTTATCTATTTTTTGAATCTCTGATTTGATTTGTTACGTAATCTCTCAACTATGATTCATCTCGTGATTATCTTTTTGTCTTTCGTTATTGCGCAGTTGTTGA